TTTTGATGATCTCCTCACAAGTGCAGGGATGTAACACCCTAGAAATTTTTTGAACTAAGACTCAAATCGTTCTTCATAGTGAGTGAGATTTTACCAAGGAATTTAAAATTTCTTAAGTGTTAAGGTCACTAGATGTAGCACCTTGAGTTTCAAAAAGAATTAAATTGGAAATAGCAAAATCTGAAATTTTGCAAGTTATGCTTAAGTATGAGTTTTGGGTCGACTTCAAATGACCATAACTCCTAGCTCAGGATGAGTTAGGTGTGCTACCAGATACCGTAGCGAAGACCTTTGAATTATCTTTCCAACGCCACTGAGTTTGATCAGTTTCGAGTTTGGATGAGTGAGATATGGCTCTTTGAAGTTAGGCTGTCCAGTTAAGGAACTAAACCGGAAATAGTAAGGGGTACTTTGGTCTTTCCTTACCCAATCAGATTTAATTCGTTTTTATTAATATTTTAAGGCTCTAATCCTATTAGGTTCAGTTTTATAATTCTAAAATACACCTAGGGTTTTAGTTGAGAGTTCAAGAAGAGAAAATAAGAGAAAAGAGGAGAAAAGAGGAGAGGATCAAGCGTTCGTCGAGATTCTTGCGTGTTGTAGCGGATTTTCGCCATGGATTTGATCCCTAAGAGGTATGTAAGCTTCCATAGTGTTGGGTTCTTTCACCCACATGCCAATCATGATTTATTCAGCGTAATTTCGTTCTTGAAATTTAAGGATTTAAGTTCTTGATGAGTTCTTGACAAGTGTTCTTGAAGTTTCATTAAATTTTGATGTAAGATTCTACTTGGGTCAACTTTAAACGACCATATCTCTTAGAATATTAAGAGTTACGTGAGCCATAACCTATCCAATTAAAGGTAATTGAATCTACTTTTCAACCCCACTAGTTTCACGTCAATACAGTATCTGAGTAAAAAGTTATGACTATTTTAGTAACCTGTACAATGCTGTTACGAATTAGGCGACGGGAAAATATTGAAAATAATCGGTTTTTGTCTTTTTACCTCCAAGAAAACCATCAACGAATTTCTTGACTAATAAAAAGCTCAAAACAATAAGATTTTCATCTTCACTCATGAAAATCATAATTTTTGGCTATAGAGATTTTAAGAAACTAACTCGAGAATCTCAAGAAAGGTCTTCTTGATTGTTTACCTTCAAGCTAGGGTTTCAAGGCTTCTAATCAAGTTCTTCTTCAAGATTCTTCAAGATTCTTCAAGAATCTTGTTCTTCTAGGTATGTAAGGCTATCATAGTGTTGGACTAGTTCGTCCTCACACCCTACATCTACTTTCAGATCAGTAAAAGAGTAATCTAGGAAACTTTCCCTAGATTTGAGTATTCTTGAGATAAGTTGATTTTGAGTTCTTGAATTCACGTTTCTTTTAAAAGTTATATTCCTAATTATCGAATAGCTATATTGTTATTGAGATCCTTCATATCATGAATCATAACTCTTGAATTCGTAATTCATAATTCATAATTCATAATTCAAATTCAAGAGAGATTTAAGAGTAGAGTTCAAGGAAGCCTTTGAGTTCAATTGTGAATCCTTTGAGATCAACTATCGATTTGAACTAAGTTTTGAGGAAGTAAGTCAGAGAATGAGAAGAGTCACATACATGAGTTTCATAATGTTATGTAGACCTACGAGTCAAGTCGTTCATGCCCATAAATTCTGCATGAACTCCAGAAGTTGAGTATCTTTGAGAGGAGTAGTATCTTCAAGTTCTAAGTCTTGAGTATTGAGTTCCTAATCCCCTTTGAGATTATATTTCTAAGCATGGGACTATTACATGTTACTCATAAAGTCCTTGAGTTGAATTGTTCATGCCCATAATTCCGCATGAATCCTATAAGTTGAGCAGTCTTGAGAAGAAAAGTATCTTTGAGTCCTTGAGTTGAGTCGTTCATGCTCATAATTCCGCACGAACCCTCTGACTTGAGCATTCTTGAAATTAGTAGTATCATTAAAGTTCTTGAGTTCCAAGTATTTGAGTTCTATCTATGGTTATTGAAAACCTTGCATTGAGTAGTTCATGTCAATAATTCGGTATGAACCATATTTTAAGAAGTCTTTTACAAACGTTTTAACTTTGTTTTAAGACTTAAGTTTTGAGTTCAGTAAAGAGTAAAAAGTAAAGTTTGAAGTCTTTTTCTTCAAAAGTATATGGGGACTAAGTATTCCCAAAGAGTTTATAAATGTTTTCACAGTTAAATAAGAACGGAAACTGAGATTTCCAAAGGGCCTTCGGGCTAGTTTTCAGAAAAGAGTAATAGCTTTCTAAATGAAGCAAGTAGGGAAACTGAGATTTCCAAGATAGCCTTTGAGCTAAGTTTTTGAGCAATTATCTCAAATCAACAGAAAGAAGTATGTTTTTAAAACATAAGAGCTAGTATATTTTTGGGAGTAGTATTGAGCACCGATATGGGGGAGAGTTAAGATAACTCACAGCCTCCATAAACCATGTAGCCACCATGGGTACTCTTTAGATGAACCTTTTTCGAAATAGACTAGTGGATCCATTAGGCAGTTCAGGTTCTATACCTTTGGCTGGGTATAGGATGCGCTGGCAGCGTAAGGTAGATCGCTGTATCATCACTATAGCTCTTATGTGATGGTTGTCGGTTAGAGAAACTCCCACAGAAGTTATTGTATTTTTATATACATCAGTTTATTGTATTTTTATATACATTTCAGAGTTATGTTGTATCCTTGCATACACACAGATTTGACAGCATGTTTTTAAACAGTTTGTTTCTTTATATTGCACTTGTTTTAAATTGCTTTATATTGAAATGAGTTCAGTCATATTTAGTTGAGTATTCAAAGTTGAGTATCCAGAGTCGAATATCATATCTTTGAGTCGAATATCATATCCTTGAGTTGAGTATCTAATCTCGGAGTTGAGTATCTTATCATTGAGTACTTCTGAGTTGAGTAAGTTTGAGTAGTTTTGAGTACCCTTGAGTATTCCTTGAGTTGAGTAAGTTTGAGAAGAGGTAAGTATGTTTCATTTCTATCAAGTTTCAAGCTTATGTTTATGTTTTAGAATTCCTCTTACATGCTCGTACATTCCACGTACTGAGCCATTTGGCCTGCATCTTTTCATGATGCAGACACATGTATTCAGGATCATCAACAGGAGCTTCGTTGATACATCCGAGAGTTCGAGTTAGCTATGGTGAGCCTTCTTGCTTTCGGAGGATTTCATTTACCTTTTAGTTATATTAGTTGTTAGGATGTCGTGGGTCTTGTCCCGACTTCCATCTTTATCAGTTAGAGGCTTCATAGATAGTCAGTACAGTTGAGAAGTCTGTATCATTTATTTTATTAAATGTTTTAAAGACTAAAGTTGCCTTTTTATGGCGAGTTGTATATATTTTATTATACAGAGTTTTCTTTGGACTTAAAGTTTGTATTTAAGTTTTATGAACTTTTTTTTTCAGTTTTTAAGCTTTGTATGCTTGAATCAGTTTTCTGCTTGTAGTCAGCCAGGATGAGGGTTCGCTTGGGGACCAGCAATGGTCTTCGAGTGCCGGCCACGTCCAGGGTGTAGGCTCGGGTCGTGACAAGGGACCTGGTCCTCTGCAGAGTATGCTCGTCCAGTGTCAAAGTGCGGTACAACTGTAAAAGCTATTTGCGTCAGAGAGTTGGTGAAGCTGCAGAGTACTTCACCAATCAGAAGCAAGGAGGTTGCTTGTACGTTTGGTAATAACTTTTTATGGTATATACTAAACAAAGGACAACATATTATTCATTCATTCATTCAAAGTGTGAGAAACTTCTAAGCTTTAAGAGAACAGCAAGGGATTTGATCGATTGCTTCAAGAGCTTCTTGCATCAGTTGTTGTTTTGTTTGCTTGTAATAGTTTTGATATTGTAAGATCAGTTTTTTCTTGTAAAAGAAATGTTTTCAAACTCGTTTGAATCATTGTAAGAACTAGGTTAAGGTAACTTAGGTTCTTACTCTAAAAGGTCTATATTAATCAGTTAGGATTAGTATAGTGAGCAGTACTGTGTCTGCTCTGGCTCATCTAAGTAATAGGAAGTATTGCTTAGAGTTGGGATTAGTAGGTTAATCCCGGTTTGTAAACTTGCTTTTGCTTTTTGCTTGGAGAAGATCAGTGAAAGAAGTTTTGAAAAGTCCTGGCAGGCCAGGTTGTGGTTTTACTCCCTTGAGCAAGGAGGTTTCCACGTAAAGCTGTTGTGCAATCTTTACTTTCAGCACTTTGTTTATTTTCTGTTAGTGTAACTGTGCTGAGGACCTGGTCCCATAGAAAACGTGGACACATACATTCCAACATGTTGTTTATTGTATTTCGATTATCACATTGATTTGTTGTTGTCATTGTTTCTTTCTTGTTGACTTCACACTACTTTTCTTTTTTACCATTATACTTTCTTCACTATTTTCTTCTTGTTTTGCTTGAGCGTGATACACTTAAGCCGAGGATCTTTAGAGAATAGCCTCTCCATATCTATTAGATGATGGTAAGGTCTGTGTACACTCTACCCTCTCCATGCCCCACTTTATTGAATTCCATTGGTTATATTGTTGTTGATGATTGAGCCTTATTTTTCATAAATTTTATTTTCACAAATTTTATTTAATTTAGATGCATAAACAGAAGAAGCTAAAAAGAACTTCATGCTTTTGCCTAAAATCTATCTAACATTGGGTATATGTTTAAAAAGAACATACAACATATATTAGTTAAATGTCTCCTGAAATTTAAGATCAGTTTAAAACCATATAATGTCATGGTTTGAATTTGAAAAGATTTAATCTTCATAAGAAATCAACATAAAGTTAAACAATATTGATTGTTCCTTATTCACTCGTTTTATTTTTGCTACATATATATTACAAGACTTGAGACAACAACTTGAATCCAAGCATTTGGTATACATTGCTTGTAACTTTTCAAGAATCCGACATACACTCGTCGACATTTTATTCAAAGAGTCCCAACAACATATATAGGTATAATATTTATTTATCACTTGATGTGGTGATTCTCAATATCTTTGGTTACATTGAGGAGAAATTCCATGAGCGTGTGTGGATCTGGCACATTAGCATTCTTCTTTTCATATTCCAAAATCCAAGTTACTGAGTTGTTTTCACCCTTTGTCTCAACATGAACAGTAACGTAAAATGATTTGTACTCCTCCAATATATCTCCTTCAATTATCCTTTTTTTCATCATCTTCTTTTCTTCATCTATTTCTTCGACTTTATCCTTTGCCACCATTTCTTTCCCATCTGTAAAACAAATACAATATAGTAAATATTTCATACTATTAATTTCATTTTTAAATGATCGAGCGAGTTGGTTTGAATCCGAACGGATTAAAAACGGGTTGAGTCAATAAACAATAAATAATAGGGGTAATATTACTATATTATCCATTGACTTTATTAAATTTAATTATTTGAAAAATATGTTAGATGATAAATAACATTTAATACCAAGAGTAAAATAGACACAAAAGGTAAATTATCTCTTGATTTTTTAAATTGGACAAGTATTGTTGGACATCTATTTTTAGTATAGTGGACACCTATTGTTGGACGGAAGGATTATTTGTTAATTATGTCTTGAATTTTTTTTCTTATATATTTTACGAAACGCATAATCACTATTGATTTAAGAGATTTAGTAAGTGTGTACTAGGTAACCCACGATACTTCCGACACAATTGGTATCATATATAGCTTGATAAGGGCTTCTGCACATAATATAGGATTAAAATGTCTTCAATTTCAACAAAGTATGAAATAGAGAAATTCAATGGACAATCTAGTTTCTGTCTGTGGAAGGTTAGAATGAGATCGTCCTTGGTGTTACAAGGATTATGAAAGGCTTTCGAGGAGACCTTTCAGAAAAGTCGAAAGAATGAGACAAAGCAGACAGTATCTCACTTGATGATGTTAGTATTGCACTAAAATCTAATGAGTTGAATATGAGCTTTTCGGATAGCACTAAGGGTGAAGGTATTGTGAGTAGGGGAAGAATACAACAAATATATTTTATGCATTATCAGAAATATATATTAAGTGCTGACATTTTCCTCAAATGAAGGGAAAATTGATTTCTCTTTCGACTTTGGATGATCAAGTGTGTAAGATTTCCTTGATACTCATGATGGGTAAGCTTCATTATTGACGGTATTATCTTCAATCCAGTATAGTTGAAGGGGAAATAGTTTCAATTGTGGCACTTGCGACTTGGTCATATGATCAGTGAAGGGATTGTCTTTGTTGAACAAGCATAATTTGTTGGATGGTTACAGAAATCAATCTTCGAAATTTTGTGAGAATTGTGTGTTTATTAAACAAACAAGGGTGAAGTTTAACAAGAAGGCAAAGCACATGACCAAAGAAAAGTTAGATTATAGACATTCAGACTTGTGGGGTTCATACAAAATTTCCTCCGAAAGTAGTGCAAAGGTACTTTATAACTTGGATTAACGATTACTCAAAAATGACAAGGGCTTATTTTATTTTCTAAAAACAAAAAATGAATCATTTTCAACATTTGTTAAATGAAAGACGATGGTAATTGAGAGACAGGTTGAAGAAAATTTAAATGTCTTTTAACTAACAATAACTTGGAATTTTGCAAATCAAAATTTAATAACTTGTGCTATAGAGAGTGCATAGTGAGACACCTCACTTGTGTTGAAACACCACAACAAAATGGTATTGCAGAATGTATGAACCGAACAATTTGTGACAGGGCACGAAAGATACAAATATTGATGAAACCAAATATAATAAAGGTTTACCATGGATGAGGTTCCAATAATTAACAGAGCCAACGGTGCCCCATTCACCTTCATGAACATCCACATTTTGTATGTTATCAGGGGACATGCTAGAGGTACGGTGTGGCCTCTGCCTATATACTTCATAAAAAACATCTCCATCACACTTGATGTTTATCTCAGAAACCAACTTTCCTTTGAGGCTCATTTTTCTTCTATGATATGATATATCACAAAGTTATAATAAAAAGTGTGTGGTTCATCATTACATGAGATCCTTGCCTTTTTATAGGCAATGCCAATATTTCTAGGCTCTAGATTATAATAAATATTTTACTTTTTTCTGCCTATACATAATTAGGCCTCGTGTCTATGTACTTACACATAATTAACTGATTCATTAATGATGAATAAGATGTTAGAGGATGAATGGAAGATCAGACGGATAATCAGTATACCTCCTTCATGAACAAACTTTACAAAGAGGGTTAAGATTTTTTTTCAACAGTACCTCAATAGTGGTCCATGTTGGTTAGAGCCGTGCTTAATCCGTGATTTCATAAAGTTGAACTAAGATTTTTGGAGCCCATTTAAGAATTGAAATTTTTTTAGCTTGGCCCGAGTAAATCCACTAGTCCGTGGGGCTTGACTATTTAATGTGGGTTGGACCAACTCGTAGACCAAATAAAAAATAAAAATAAAGTAGAATACTAAAATTAAGTAAATACAAATGGAATTCTAACTCAAAATCTACTTAAACCAAAGTATATGGATATTACAAGTTGATATTTCTATTTGGATAGTTATATTGTTACTCATTAATTATTTAGTTTTTGTACTAATATCTGTATTTGGTTCGAGTGGTATAAGGTAATGAAGTCTTGCCTTTAGAGTCTTTTGTGATAAGAAGGTACCACCTACACTTAAACGAAAGTTCTATAGAGTGGTGGTTAGACTATCCTTCTTGTATGGGGTGGAGTGTTGGCCAGTCAAGAACTTACATGTTCAGAAAATGCATGTTGCGGAGATCAGGATGTTGAGGTAGATGTGTGGGCATACAAGGAGTGACAAGATTAGAAATCAGGTCATTCAGGTTAGAGTGGCCTCTATGGCGGACAAGATGAGGTAAGCGATATTGAGATGGTTTAGGCATGAATAGGGGAGACGCGTTAGTGAAGAGGTGCAATAGGTTGAATGTAAAGGGTATGTTGAGGGGTAGAGGTAGACCGAAAAAAGTATTTGGGAGAAGTAATTAGATAGGACATGAGGAGCTCCATATTACCTAGGACATGACTTTAAATAGGAAAGAGTGGAGGTCGTGTATTAGGCTAGAAGGTTAGTAGGGATAGAGTGTTGTCTTGCCTTGCGAAGGTTTAGTGCATGTCATAGCATTAGTTGTGCCCTTTGTATTTATGGCCATAGGTTGTTTATTGTATTTCGATTATCACATTATTTTGTTGTTGTTATTGTTTCTTTCTTGTTGACTTCACACTACTTTTCTTTTTTTACCGTTATGCTTTCTTCACTATTTTCTTCTTCTTTTGCTTGAGTGTGATACACTTGACCCGAGGATCTTTCGAAAATAGCCTCTCCATATCTACGAGATAGTGGTAAGGACTAAGATCTGCATACACTCTACCATCTCCATGCCCCACTTTATTGAATTCCACTGGTAAATCTAAATTTTATTTTTCACAAATTTTAGTTTAGATGCATAAACAGAAGAAGTTAAAAAGAAGTTCATACTTTTGCCTAAAAGCTATCTAATATTGGGTATATGTGTAAAAAGAATTGTCACGCCCCGAGCTTACATCTTGGACGCCACTGGCACTCGAGAACCATTGCTGGCCCTAAGCAAATCCTTAGCCTAGCTTAACTCTTAGCGGAAGACTTACTCATAAATAATATGAACTTAAAAGATAAACTTTACTCAATTGTCTCAAAAGATAAACTCAGAATGTTTTAGAAATAAACATTCAACTAGCCAAAGAGGCAATTCAAGTCTCAATATAAGTAACTGAAAATGAAAAGACGCATGAACTACTGTCTATCTTTCTATGGAGCCTCTAATACTATAAGGGATGTCGGGACAAGACCCCGATCATCCTAACAACTGAAATAACTAAAAGTAAACAAGGGATCCTCCAAAAGCAAGGAGGCTCACTAAACAACTCTGGAACTCAACTGGATCAACGAAGCGCTGGATGTTGATCATGGTTACCTGTATCTGCATCATAAAAGATGCAGGCCAAATGGCGTTAGTACATGGAATGTACGAGCATGTGAGGGGAAATCTAAACACAAGACATAAGCTTGAACTGGAACTGAAGAAACAATTACCTCGTCTGAACTTAACTCAAGGATACTCAACTTACTCAAATCATTTCAATATAAAGCAGTAGTAAATATGCATTATGAAGAAAAACTTTTAAAATAGTATATAACAACTCCGTGTATTAGAATATACAATATACTCAGTTTGTATGCAAGAATACATAATAAACTCTGTTTGTATATGAAGATACAAAATAAACTCCGTGGGAGATTCTCTAACCGACAATAGGTAACTACTCTTGAAATAACTTTTGAACTCATAACTCATTTAGAAATCTCAGTTTCTCTTTTATCAATGTAAAAATTGATGCCTCTGGAATACATAGTCCCCTTATACTCATACTTGAAAACTCTTTCTCAAAATCATATTATAATATGATCATTGATGATTCGGGAAGTCATACTGCATAAACATTGATGGTATATCTAGATATTATACTGCTTAAACATTGATGGCATACCCGATTGTCATACTAATCATGTTTTAGAAACTCTTTCTCAAAACTCAGTTTAAAACTCAAGTGTTAGCTTTAAAAAGCTTCTCAAAATTTATAACCCAATTCATAGGGTTCATGCGGATTTATGGAAATGAACAACTCAAATCAGGGATCTTAATAGCAATATATAACAATTCAATAATTAGGAATAAAATTTCAAAAAGAATCAAGAACTCAAAATCAACTTATGTCACGACCTATGGGTACCCCTTAGATGTAACATGGCGTATAGAACCCCGAAGGACTTCATACAAGCCACTTAGCTTTCATCACATAAGAAATAGAACAATATGGGTAAAATAATAGTCCAAGTCCAAAACATTTTATAAAGCGAAACGGAAGTCTAAAAATCATGTCTCATCATAGCCATCTAATAGAATAGAATGAAATTGGGCCTATCCCATACATCATGTCCAAAAAGGAAATACAAGAAATAAACTAAAACAATGAAATCCGTCCACAAACCATGAGGACTCACCAAGCTCAGGAACACTCAAATCCAAGCTCTAGCCACAATATTGGGAATTCTGTCTGTCTGACACTACATTTGGGAAAAATGTAGGCAAGAGTATGCGTTAATACAAAAAAAATGTACCAAGTATGATAGATATGCATAAAATCATTTAAAACATGCTAAAATGGACATTTCATTTCATGGCATGCAATTGACCAAGTAAAACATGATATAAGAAGGTTAGAAAACATAAGTCATAACATCATGATCAATGCGAGCCAATTCATCTTTAAATCTTTGAACACATATGAGATACTCCTTGAGTAACCTTAGTTCACTTTTAGTCTTGTTGTGGAAAAATTAACCTTAACAGACATAGATACCATGTGAGCTATACACGATCCCCGGTGTCTCCAACACTGAAAGGGTTGTTCTACTTTCCTAAGGTAGAACCATGAACTTCTAGCTTAAGTGGATCCACTAGCTAATCATCATATGGGGACACATAGTTTATGGGATAAGGAGATTGTTACTAGAAACTCGGCATCTACTAACGGGGGAGCTTCCATCCCACATTAATATCCACTCGGTCCTAAGCATAATTCTCACGGAATAGTCATTTCTTACTTATTCTTATCATTCATGGAAAGGTGTCCTTGACAACCAATCCAAGCTAGTTTAGGATAACTCTTACTCTTTGATTCAATTAGGTGAGAATAGCCTTTCAACCTAAGAATCCATATTATGTGAGAAAACCTTTCACATCATACTAGTTATGTGTTTATGAGAATAGCCTTTCACATCACAACATAAAACATCATCATTTGGCACTTTACTCTCAAAGCACCCTTAAACCTTTACATAGATTTCATAAGTTCATGCATAAACTTATACATTACCCTTTGTTCAAATCATACTTTCAATCACAAAATCTAGAAATCAAGGATTAGATAGGGATTATATCATAAATTCATGTTATTTCATCACATTATCCAATAATTTGTAAAACTCATCATTTATAATCAACAACCCACACCATATGATCACAATTTGGGAAAAACATGGGGGTTCATGGGTTCATAGGGGAAAACATCATGAAAGCATTGAAAATCATCAATTCATGCATGTTAAAACATAATTCAATCATTAAGATCAATAATCAAAGGAACCCATGGTAATTGAAGAAAATCCTAGCTAATTGGGGAACTCTACCTTTTGAAATAGAGGAATTTGGGGACTCCATGAATGAAAGAGATTCATGGATGAAAACTACCATACCTCAAGTCCAAATGCTAGCCTTCAATGGAGGAATTGAAACCTTGCCTTGAAACCCTAGTTGGATCCTTCTTGTTCTTCTTCAAGTTTCTAGAGAGAGAATATTTGAGAGGAGATTTGATTTCTTTTGGGGAATTTGGAACAATGAAGTAAATGAGTTTAATTTGGGGGTAAAAAGGATTATATAGGAGTCCTAAATATAGGCAAAATAACATAGTATAGGAATTAATTAATTAGGAAAAGACCCAACTAATCCTGAAAATAACTGCCAAGTGACGACCTACGACCACCCATTAACGGACCATGGATGGACCTACGGTCCGTCCTGCACAACCGTCAGTAAGTGCAGAGACTTTTGGCCAATCGATGGACCTCTGGACCACAGACCGTGGACCCATCTACAACACGTAGGTCCAGTCGTGGTTCCTGCCCTTGCAACTTTTTAGATGGCCAATCCACGGACCCACCTACGGTCTGTTGTTCAATCTACGGACCGTCGTTGGTCCTCATGGATGGCACCTATAAGTTCTGAATTTTTGGTTTATTACCCTTTTTCGGATACGGGGTGTTACAACTTATCTCAAGAATACTCAAATCTAGGGATAAAATCCTAGATTTATCTTTTACTTGATTTGAAGTAGATGTAGGGCGTGAGGATGAACTAGTCCAACACTATGATAGCCTTACATACCTCTTAGGGATCAAACCCTTGGCTAAACAACCTTCGAATTTGCAAGAAATCTTGAAGAGCGCCTTGACTTTTCTCTTTCTCCTCTTCTTGAACTCCTCTCAAAACCCTAGCGTATTTTGATTTATGCAAACTGACCTAAATCAGATTTGACCCCAAAAATAATACTAAATTAGTTTTAATCTGATTGGGTAAGGAAAAGACCAAAATACCCCTCACTAATTCGGGTAACTTTCCTTAATTGGACAGGCTAACTTCAAATGGGCATATCTCCCTCATACGAGCTCAAAAATTAGCAAACTTGGTGGTGTTGCAAAGAGGATTCCAAGACCTTTTCAGTTGATATCTCTTGGGCCACCTAACTCATCCTCTAGTGAAAGTTATGGTCGTTAGAAGTTGACACAAAATTCATAATGTAACATCCGGCAATTTGAAATAACTATGAAAAAGCTTGAAATTGGAAATAGTCATATTTTTGAAAAATTTAAAATCTGGAATTTGGTTAAGTGTGGGAAATCAGTGAGTTTTGGCCAACTTTGAGCAGTCATAACTCCTAGATCAGGATGAGTTAGGAGTATTTCCAGTTATGTTTGGAAATCCCTTGGGATGATCTTTCCAATGGCGCTGAGTTTTCTCGATTCCGAGTTCGTATGAGCGAGTTATGCCCTTTGAAAGTTGGGCAGTTGGCAGGGAATCCGTATGGAAAATTTAAGGGCATTTTGGTCTTTTCCCTAGCCATTTCTTTTGGGATTATATTGTGGTGTTAGGCTGATTTTTGGATCATTTTGTACCATTTTAAAAGAGTGAGAGCTAGGGCTTGAGAGTGAAGAGGAGAAGAAGAGGAGAAGAAGAGGAGAAAGAGAAGATCAAGCAAGGAGTTTCCGTCAAGGATCGTCGTGGATATCGTCGGGGGTGATCCCTACTAGGTATGTGAGTTCTTAGTGTGGGTTGATCCTTTATCCCACACACCAAACTCATTATTATTGAGAAAGATTGGATATGTTGTTGAAGTTGTTGGGTTGTGTTGTTGATGTTGTTGATTGTGTTGTTGAAGTTATTGTTGGTTGTGGGACATGATTTGGTTTTGTGTTTGAGTTGAATCTCTTGTATATTGAGGGGTTTTATGATCCTTAGTGTTTGGGGTTGAATCCATTGAGGTTAGAGAGGTTTAGAGTTAGAGAAAAGAGGGAGAAAAGTCCGATTTTCTGGGGAAGGTCTGGCGCGTCGCGCCTGCCAACGCGCCTCAAAAGGGACTCTGAAGTCCAGCCCTTGGGGTGGCGCGCCTCTCAGAGTGCCAGCAGGTTCCTTCTGAGCTTCGAGGGCTGGCGCTCCGCGCCTTGCAAAGTGCCAAGGACGCCATGTTCTCCATTTCTTCCACACTTTCTCATGCATGTTCCTAGGTATTGTACCTATGTTTCCTAGTTGTTTCCAACACTCTAATGTACATTTAAACCTCCCGAACTCATCTATAACATGCGATCATATACCTTGAATCCATGATTCAATTCGAGGTGAGTTTGGATCAAAGTCAAGTGAAGTTAGAGTCAAGTTAAGCAAGTTAAGAAGTAAGTCCAAGCAAGTCTTTAGAGTTGTTCAAGAGTCTTTATTGAACGTTTTAGCTTCATTCTAAGGCTCAAGTTTCAAGTCGAGTAAAGAGTATAGAGTTTCAAGTTAAGTCAAGAACATAAAGTTGAGTTCATTTCTCAAAATTATTAGGAACTATGTATTCCCAAAGAAGTTTGAAAGAAATGTTTTTACATTTAAACAATGTTGGAAACTGAGATTTCCAAAGAGCCTTCGGGCTAGTTTTTGAGTAATTATCTCAATTAGCAGGAAATCATATGTTTTAAAAACATAAGAGCCAATGTATTTTTGGGAGTAGTATCGAGCACCGAATTGGGGGAGCGTTCAAAGAACCCACAGTCCCCATAGAACCATGTTAGCCACCATGGGTAGAAAAGGGTCATACTTTTTAGATGAATCCTTTTCCAGATAGACTAGTGGATCCATTAGGCAGTTCAAGTTTTATACCTTTGGCAAGGTGTAAGATGCTCTGGCAGCGTGAGGTCGATCGCTGTATCATCACTATAGCTCTTAAGTGATGGTTGTCGGTTAGAGAAACTCCCACAATAGTTATTGTATCTTCATACACAAAAATTATTGTATTTTTATATACATCAGTTCATTTGTATTTCTATATACATCTCAGGCTTATTGTATCTTTGTATACACACAGAGTTAATAGCATGTTTAAAGAAGTCTTTTTTTATATCGCACTTGTTTTAAATTGCCTTAGATTGAAAAAAGTCAGTCAGGTTGAGTTGAGTTGAGTTGAGCCAGGTAAGATATTCAGTTTCTTCCAGATTTCCTTCTAGCCTTTATTGCTTAGTTTTCCAGCTCGCATACTCGTACATTCAATGTACTGATGCCAGTTGGCCTGCATCTTATGACGATGCAGATACAGGTACCCTGGATCAGCATCCTGCACGTCGTTGATCCAGCTGAGCACTCCTGAGTCAGTGGTGAGCCTCCTTGCATTCCGGAGGACTCAATTATTTTGTATTCTTAGTTTTGTTTTATTAGGATGTTGCGGGGCTGTCCCAACATCCATCTCAGTATTTTAGAGGCTTCATAGACAGTCAGTCAGTTAGTTTTGAGTCTCTCATCTACGTATATATGTAAATATTCGATTTTGAGATTCGAGTTGCCTTTGTGGCCAGATTTCATAAGGTAAGTTGTTTTGTAAATCTTGCATGTGCATTGAGTTTTTCTGTTGAGTTAGGTTTCCGCTGAGTTAAGAAAGCCAGGCCAAGGGTTCGCTTGGGGCCAACAATGGTCTCCGAGTGCCGGTCCCGCCCAGGGTGTAGGCTCGGGGCGTGACACATAACTTAGGATAACTTGAAAAAATTCTAATTTAGCTATTTCCAATTTAGCGCTTTCTAAATATAGCTCTTTCTAAGGCGGGATGTTACAAGAACATACAACATATATTAGTTAAATGTCTCGTGAAATTTAAGATCAGTTTAAAACTATATAATGTTATGGTTTGAATTTGAAAAGATTTAATCTTCATAAGAAATCAACATAAAGTTATACAACATTGATTGTTCCTTATTCTTTTCCTTACGAATAATACTTTCATTCGTTTCAATTTGTTTGTTAGAATGTGGGAGAATATGAGGATTAGTAATCTATGGATTAAAATTACAAAATAACAAAACTAATCCTCACTAAATTTGTCTTGCTCTTATACCCAAAGTCAACTTTCCTAATACCTCTGCTGATATTAAACACATTAGCTTGAGTAATTATATTAATTTAAAATTATTTCTAAAATTATGGCCAATAAACTGAATCTTCCGTATATAAATAAAATATAATTTTAACTATACATAAACATTGTAACGAAAGAGGTTTCAAATGAACCTCTCAGCCTCACCTAGCTCCTGCCCTAGCCATCAAGACAAAGTTTCTTTACTTCTTCTCAAGGTTTAAAGTCCCTTAACAATTTACTTTTAAATCATAATTTTATTCCTTTCTCTATGCATATTGTTATTAACTTGTTATCATGACTTATATATAGAAAAAATAAAATTCCGTGTTTATAAAATGGAAAAGTTGAAAGAAAAGCACATACTATTGGTTTTCAGCAGAGAGAAAACAAAAAGAAAAAAGAAAAACTATAATGCAATTCAAATAACAACTTTTATTTTTATTTATCTATAAAATTAGATATCCACTCGTTTTATTTTTGCTACATATATATAGTAGACATTTCAAAGCACACCCGCTAATAACAACACACATTATTACAAGACTTTGAGACAACAGCTTAAATCCAAGCATTTGGTATACATTGCTTCAACTTTTCAAAAATGTTGCTGTATTCATATCGATTTCTTCAAAATGTACTACTTTAAAGAATTCGACATACAATCGTCAACATTTTCAAAGAGTCTCAACAAATGTATAATATTTATGTATCACTTGATGTGGTGATTCTCAATATCTTTGGTTACATTGAGTAGTAATTCCATGAACGTATGTGGATCTAGCACATTAGCATTCTTCTTTTCATATTCAATAATCCAAGTAACTAAATTGTTTTCACCCTTTGTCTCAACATGAAGAGTGATGTAAAATGATTTGTAATCCTCCAACAAATCACCTTCAATTATCCTTTTTTTAATCAGCTTCTTTTCTTCATCTATTTCTTCGACTTCCTCCTTTGCCACCGCTTCTTTCCCATCTGTAAGACAAATATAGTAAATATTTCATACTATTAATTTCATTTTTAAATGATCGAGCGAGTTGATTTGAATCTGAACGGATTAAAAACGGGTTGAGTCAATAAAAGTATTGTTGGGTCATACATAATGCATCCAAAATTTGCTTGGATTAAATTAACAAACATATTAATTATTACTTTAATTTGAGCTAGATGTTAAACTTTTTTTCGAGGAAATGGTCTCGTAGATATATATGTTATTTGTTAATTATGTCTTGGATTTTTTCTCTTATATATTTACGAAACTCATAATATCTATTGATTTAAGAGATTTGTTGTCCTAATAGATTTGGAAAAGGAATATGTTGTCCTTATAGGAATGGAAGAACATTTTCCTTATTGGATTGTGACTACTTATTTGTACACTCATTCTTTTTTCTCATAGTGGAAAACTCTCTTTGTTTTTGCTTGAATGATTAGACCTAGATGAACCTTGTTAAATCCTTGTGTTATTTTTCCTCTCTATTTTCTTTATTTATGATTGTGTGCTAGGTGATCCACGATATTTTCGACACAATTGGTATCATATATAGCTTGGTAATTAGGGGTTCTGCACACATATATATTGTTGATACTGGTAATAATTCTGATGATAGTGACTATGTATGGAAAGTTTGTGCTCTAAGTTTTGATCATAGGCATAATTTCTTGGTTCTTAATTCTGGTGCATTTTTTCACATATGTCCTCACAAGAATAGATTTACAACTTATAAGCAAACGAGTGAGATTGTCTACCTAGGTGAAGATAATTCATTAAATATATAGGGAATTGATATTAAGAGCTGACATTTTCCTCAAATGAAGGAAAATTTGATTTCTCTTTTGACTTTGGATGATCAAGGGTGTAAGTTTCACTTAGCTAATGAAACACTGAAAGTGTGTAAGATCTCCATGGTACTCATGAAGGGTAAGTTTCATTCTCGACTGTATTATCTTCAAGCCAGTTTAGTTGAAGGGGAAATAATTATAGCTTCTTCTAGGAAGAGTGTGGTGAATCAGTTTCAATTGTGGCACTTGCGACTTGGTCATATGAGTGAAGGGATTGTCTTTGTTGAACAAGCATACTTTGTTGGATGGTTACAGAAATCAAGCTTTGAAATTTTGTGAGAATTGTGTGTTTGATAGGCAAACAAGAGTGAAGTTTAACAAGAAGGCAGAGCACAAGACCAAAGAAAAGTTAGATTATATGCAATAACTTGGAATTTTGCAACTCACAATTCAATAACTGGGAGTGCATAGTGAGACACCACACTTGTGTTGAAACCACAACAAAATGGTATTGCAGAATGTATGAACCAAACATTTTGTGACAGGACACGAAAGATATAAATATTGAAATCAAATATAATAAAGGTTTACCATGAATGAAGTTCCAATAATTAATAGAGCCAACAGTGCCCCATACACCTTCATGAACATCCACATTTTGTATCTTATCAGGGGACATGTTGGAGATATGGTGTGGTCTGTGCCTAAATACTTCATGAAAAACATCTCCATCACACTTGATGTTTATCTCAGAAACCAACTTTCCTTCGAGGCTCATTTTTCTTCTATGATATATCACAAAGTTATAATAACAAGTGTGTGGTTCATCATTACATGAGATCCTATGTCCTTTTATAGTTAGGCAATGCCAATATTTCTAGGCTCTAGATTATAATATTTTTTTTACTTTTTTCTGCCTATACATAATTAGGCATGTCTATGTAATTACACATAATTATTTTGTTCATAAGCATTTTTTAAAGATTGTCATACATTTAGTAAATACCAAAAGTGTTTTTAAGTCAAGTGCTTATAAGTCGAAATCAAGTCATAAGTTGGTCATCTTTAGTTTTATGATTTTATAAGTCGAAATCAAGTCATGATGGTGGTGGTTGCGGCGACAAAGGTGCCTAGTGGAGGTGACTGGTGATTGTGGATAGAGTGATGATGGATATTATTCATATAAAAATATATTTTAATGATATTAAAATTTTGTTCTAGATCTTTATGATTAAAACCTATTCGGAAGTACTTAAATCTTAATGAATACAAATGCACTAATAATCTAATATATGAATTATTCCATATCAAACCTTCATTAGGTGCAAACAAATAGAGCTTAAGTGTTACGTAAGTTGGCTAATTAAGTTTCCAACTTGTATGAAGTAACTACCTAGAAAATGAGAATTGGGTCCTCACAGAAAAGGGTAATTTTCGCTAGGCGTAAGTTCTTTTTTTAAGAGGTTGAGAGTTCAAGTCCCTCCTTCCGCTCCTGGCTTCGTCGTTTTGTGGTAACAAGTGAAGTGCATAAGTCACTTTAGAGATAGGGGCAACAAATTAATAATCAACTCATAAAAGAAAAAAAATAAAGAACGATCCTTTTGAAGATAAATCTGTGCAATTAAATGAGAAGAAAACCGTTTGCATATTTTCTATTGGATCCTTAAGTAAAGATCAAGAAAGCATCAGAATTATGTTCATATTTTGATCTATAAGAACTTGCTGATCTATTATTAGGGGCCGATTATCTCATAAAAATAATTATGCAGTGAGTATATTAGCTTATATATGTTGTGAATAATATTAAAAAATACTACAGAATTACTAATATAAGAGTTGTTATGCTGGTGTTTAATAATGAAATTGTTATACGAGTACATTTTACACTACATTTTAACTTAATATGAAACCAGGAACTCCTGTATTAGTAATGCATGGATTATTTTTTCTCATATGGCCAACCAAACATTATATCTCTTTGACAAATTTTATGTTGAGATTAATTATAGACATGTTTTTTATTAGAATTGGAGAGGGGACCTTGTCCAGGCCAGTGCTAATACTATATATGTAACGACTTGTTCCCGTCGTTATGGAAAACCCAATGGGAAAGAATTTGGGCCAGAAAACTTTTGAGTAGTGACTTGAAAATTTGTAACCTAAGCCAGACTTGGACAAAATCTGAGTCAGGTGAGGTCTAGGGAAATTTGGTAATAGACAGGAGGGTTTGATTATGAATTTGATCACATGAGTGGATAGCTAAGACGTTAAGGAGCCTGTACAACTTTACGAAATCGAATTCGGGCGAGTAGAACTCCCGAAACTGATTTTGGCATGGAATGGTAGTTTTTGAACGTCCAGGTTAGAAGGTGTGTTGTGTAATGGGATCTTAGAACTCAAATTCCATGTTTTGTCTCCGTGCAAGCCGCCAGATCGGGGTTAGTTCCGCCAGGGCGGGGCCGCTATGGCGGGTTAGGTCCCGCTGTGGAGGGACAATCGCGAGTTAAGTCAGGGAAAAACCCCAAAACCGTTATTTTCTACAAAACTTCGTTCTTGAGAGCTAGGAGGCGAACCAGAGTAGTTCTTAACAGTTTTCCATGATTTCTAGTGCTAAAGGTAAGATAATTACTCCCCCAATCTGTAATTTGATTCTTAGAACTTAGAATCTTGAGTAATTATTATTGGGGGAGAGTTTTGGCCTGAAGTTGATGGTGGAAAAATCCCTAATTGAGTATTGTGATCTTGGGTTTGGCCTAAGATTGATAGTTTGATTATTATCTAGGTAAATTAGGCCTTGTTTATTGATCCTTGCATTACTTAACTGTGTTTAGACCAAGAACAAGCGGAAATAATCTAGAAAGGGAAGACTCAAGTGTCTTAGGAGGATTCAAGCTTAGTTTCGAGGTAGGTGATTGCTTGATTTCCTTTAAGTGTGATATATGCCGGTTAATTGCTTCATTGTATGCATGTGTGTATGCGAATAAAATCTAATGCAAATAAGTATATGCACAATTACATGCCATGAAACCAATACTTGATTGTATGACTATGAGAGTTGTTTATTATGGGTGTGATTGTGTTGACTGGATCGGGTGTCACGTTTTGACACTTATCTTAAATCGAGTGTCATATTTCGATACATACATTGGATCGGGTGTCACATTTCGACGCATATATTGGATCGGGTGTCACGTTCCAACACACTAACAGTTTGGGTGTGGGTTCCATGAGAGAACCACTATGATTATTACATTCATTTCTACTTGTCGTTGATATTGGGAACTGTATGTTACTCCTGAAATGATAATTGATCTATGTATTCTGTATATGTGTGTTTACTGTGTTGTAATTGCTTGCCTATGTTTTGCTTACTGGGGTGGCCGCGTTATCTTACCAGTACACGTTAGTTGTGTACTGATACCGCACTTACTCGTTGTTTGTTGAGTACAAGACATATTCAGGAGGCAACTGATAGAACTCAGCTAGGAGATCATTGATTGAAGACCGGATTCAAGAGTGAGCCAGTTCTTCCAAGCTACCATGGATTCTTCCTTGTTTAGTCCACTCTTTTTGGACTCAGACTGTTTAGTTAGACATTTCTTATGTTAGTTTAGGGGTTGCACCCATTTTCCTTAGATTTGTTGGTTTACAGAGTTTTGGTACAATGACTTTCATGTTCTAGGGGTTGAATTTCCACAGTAGTTATGTTAGTTGATTTGTTAAACTTTCGGAGTTTATGGGAATTCCATATTTCAATAGTCATTAAAACCTGCTTCCGTATCTTTTAATGTTCTAGTTTTCGTTAAGTTGCTTAGTTGGGTTGCAATAATGGTTCTCCCACCGGAGGGTTAGTGTGAGTGAGAATCACGGCGGTTCGAGTCGTGACATAGTTGGTATCAGAGCCCTAGGTTCGTTGATCTCATTGTACCAAAATGAGTCTAGTAGAGTCTTGCGAAACGGTACGGAGACGTCTATACTTTCTTCGAGAGGCTATAGGACTTTAAGAAAACTTATTCCTTTCTTTCTTCGTGCTATTACTTGAATTCAATTGATATCTAGGTGATACAAATTGGTATCTTTCCTCCTTCACTCTATGGTCAGAACTAGAGCAACATAAGTGGTAACACCAACACTAGCAAGAGAGGATGCGTCTTTCCAAATAAGCATGTTTCCCCGATTCAATGTGGGCATGTAATGACTAGTGACAAACATGAGGTTTTTATTATGTTCTTAAGGTTGAAACCTTCATTCTTCAGGGTACTGAATCTGAACATTCTTATGATTTTCTTGTTGATTGTCATAATTTGCTCCATAAGATGGATACGGTAGAGCGATTTGGCATTGAGTTTATGATATACCAGTTAAAGGGAGACACCAAAATGTGGTGGTGGTCTCATGTTGAGTGCCGACTAGTAAATGCACTACTTATGACTTGGGAAACATTTTATAGCTTTCTGTATGGAGAATTATATACCCTGAACTTTGAGGGATATGAGGAGAGACAAGTTCCTGAATATACAACAACATAATATATTTGTTGCAACCTTTATAAGGCAAATTTTTGTGTTTTATCCAAATATGGTTCTCCATTTTGCTTCAGTCTAGATGAGTAAATTGGTCGTTTTGTGAAGGGATTAAGGTCAGATTTGCAAATTTGCAGATTATAGGTGGCTGCTTTAGAAAATCTTTTCAAGAAGTGGTTGATTTTGTGATGGAGGTAGAAGGGGGTGAAGTCAGAAGACTTTGCCAAGGTGACAACATTCAAGGAGTTTTGTAAGGGAAGGCTAGATAATGAACACCACTACTTTGGAAAATATATTTAGTATTGTTGGGATAGTTGAGGTTTGAATTTCTACTACGATTTCCTAGATTGAGTGTATATCAAAGAAGGTCATGATACAACTACTACAATAGCAACATTGCTTACTTGGTTAAGTTATTAAGTGTGTTACAATTGTAGAGAACCTGGGCATATGAGGAGGAAATCAACGAGGCCGTGAAGGCCGGAGAAATGGTAATGCAGGTAAGGGATCAATGTCTTCAGGCAAGGAGGTTGCCCGTCAAGATGACATGGCTCAATTTTATGCCTTTTCGAGCAAGATCGGAGCTAAGGTGTTTGATGCAGTGATTATATGTGTTATTCTTGTCTGTGAGTGAATGGCTACTATTTTGCTTGATCCAGGTTTTACTTATTCATATGTGTCAGCTTAGTTTCCCCTGGGATTTGATGCGGTTTATGACGTGCTTGGTGCCCCCATCCAAGCTTCTACCCCAGTTAAAAAGTCAGTCATAGTCACCCAGGTATTGTAACATCCGACAATTTGAAATAACTTTGAAAAAGCTTGAAATAGGAAATAGTCATTTTTGGAAGAATGTGAAAATTTCAAAATCTGGAAAATTTGGCTAAGTATGGAAAATAATGAGTTTTTGGCCAACTTTGAACAGTTATAACTCCTAGTCAGGATGATCTAGGTGTGGTTTCGGTTATGGTTGCAAAGTTCGTGGAATGATCTTTCCAACGCCATAGAGTTTGCTCGTTTCCGAGTTCGTATGAGCAAGTTATGTCCTTTGAAAGTTGGGCAGTTGGCAGGAAATCTGTCCGGAAATTGTAAGGGTATTTTGGTCTTTTCCCTAGCCTTGTCTTTGGATATATATTAAGTTGTAAGAATGATTTGTGATCAGTTTTCCTCATTTTAAAGAGTGAAAGTAAGGGTTTGAGAGTGAAGAATAGAAAAAGAGGAGAGAAAGGAGAAGAAGAAGCAAGTTTCGTCAAAGATCGTCGTGGATATCGTCGGG